AGAAGCAGATGGCTGGGTTAGATGATAGTTCTATTTTTATTTTCTTGAGGAACTGCCATACTGTTTTCCAAAGTGGCTGCACCATTTACAGCCCCCAGCATGCCCAGGGCTGCCCGATCTCCACGTCCTCACCGGCACCAGGTTGTGAGGTGTGAAGAGCCATCGACAGGTGTGAGGTGGCATCTCGCTGTGGCGTGCTCTCCAGCTCGCTGATAATTAGTGACACTGAGCATCTTCTCAGGGACCAGTTGGCTGTTCATACGCCATCTTTGGGAAATGGTATGTTCAGGACGTCTGCCCATTTTTGTTTATTTATTTATTTATTTAAAAAATATTTTATTGATTTTTTTACAGAGAGGAAGGGAGAGGGATAGAGAACTAGAAACATTGATGAGAGAGAAATATCGACCAGCTGCCTCCTGCACACCCCCTACTGGGGATGTGCCCGAAACCAAGGTACATGCTCTTGATCAGAAGCGAACTCGAGACCTTTCAGTCCGAAGGCAGACGCTCCATCCACTGAGCCAAACAGGTTCCTCTGCCCATTTTTATTTATTTATTTATTTATTTAAATATAATTTATTGATTTTACACAGAGAGGAATTGAGAGGGATAGAGAGTTAGAAACGTCGATGAGAGAGAAACATCGACCAGCTGCCTCCTGCACACCCCCCACTGGGGATGTGCCCGCAACCAAGGTACATGCCCTTGACCGGAATAAAACCCGGGACCCTTCAGTTCCCAGGCCGACGCTCTTCCACTGAGCCAAACCGGCTTCGGCCCTCTGCCCATTTTTAAACCGAGTAAATTGGTCTGCTATTTTGCTGTTGAACTGTGTGAGTGCCTTAATATTTTAGGAATTCGCTCCTTAGGGGCAATGCGCTTTGCAAACATTGTCTCCGACTCCCCTGCTGTGTTCACTAGGCTGTGTCCTGTGTTGTGTGCACGGACACATGGTCGTCTGACGTGGCCCTGTCCCTCTCACTCATGTTTGCATTGGGTACCTTGGCTATTGGTGCCAGAGCCAGGTGGTCCTGGCCAAGACCAAAGCCAAGGGCTTCCCCTCCATCTTCCCGAATGCTGTGTGCAGCCTTGCATTGGGAGAACTGAGTTCTCTCAGAACTCAGCCCTCGGAGTTGGGCCCTTGGTCCCACTGCCGTGAGGGGTGGTCTCTGTGTCCTCCTGTCTGTCCAGATAACAGGACGCTCCAGGTTCCTCCCGCCTGTTCCCAGCCCTTTCCAGAGAGCCAGTTTCCATTAGACACAGAAACGGTGTTCACCAAGGAGGCTCGGTGCTAGGAGTGCTTGCAGCCACCGGCTGGTCGTTTCTCCAGATCTTTAGATAACATACATCACAATGTCATGTTGATGCTTTTTAGAAAATTTTTTTATTGATTTCAGAGAGGAGGGGAGAGGGAGAGAGAGATAGAAACATCCATGATGAGAGTCACCGTTTGGCTGCCTCCTGCTCGCCACACACTGGGGATTGAGCCCATGCCCTGACCGAAAATCAAACTGTGACCTCCTAGTTCATAGGTCGATGCTTAACCCCTGAGGCACACCGGCTGGAATCATTTTGATGTTATTGAATCAAATGCAGAACCCCAGGGTCTTCCCTGGCCTAAGAAGGCAGATGGCAGAGGCCTGGCCCAGGGACAGTCTGTCTCCACCAGATCCATGGCTGATAGGATGGGGATAAGGGGGTCCTGAGAGGGAGGGAGAGGCATCCAGGAGTGCGGCCTTGTCCTGGAGGCGAGGCCTCAGCACCTCCCACCAATGACTCCGTCAACATCAACCCCCGAAGTCTGAATTATCGTCGGAAGAGAATGGCCCAGAGCCACGGGGAGGAGGCCGCCCAGAGAGTTCCAGGAGCAGGGCTTCGGCTCATCAGCGATATCTTTATTGAGTCGCATGAACAACTGAAGGTCAAGCAGAGCGTGTGACGTGCAAACCAGCTCTGAGGGCATCTCTTCATCCCCCGGGTTCCCAGGAAGGTCCCCACAGCGGCATAGGCTCCGTATCCCCGCACGGGGCTTGAGGACCAGGGGACAGGCTCGAGTGTGACTCAGGAGGAGACGTGTCAGGTACATGGACATTGGGGTGGCTTCTACTTAGGAACAAGCAGCCGCATCAGGGTTCATTCTACAGGGGGTGTGGCGTGGGGGTGGGTGGGAGGTGGGCCTGAGTGAGATTTTGGAGTTAGCAATAAAAGACAGGTCACGGCTGGGAAAGCTGGGTTAGCAGGGGTCACCTGAGGTGGGAGGTCAGAGCTTCAGATCTTGCACTGGCAGCAAACGGGGGCACAGCAGGGTTTGCAGCAGCTGGACTGGCAGCAGCAGGGTTTGCAGCAGCAGACAGGCTCACAGCAGGGTTTGCAGCAGCTGGACTGGCAGCAGCAGGGTTTGCAGCAGCAGACAGGCTCACAGCAGGGTTTGCAGCAGCTGGACTGGCAGCAGGGTTTGCAGCAGCAGACAGGCTCACAGCAGGGTTTGCAGCAGCTGGACTGGCAGCAGCAGGGTTTGCAGCAGCTGGACTGGCAGCAGCAGGGTTTGCAGCAGCAGACAGGCACACAGCAGCTGGAGCCACAGCCCCCCTTGCAGCCCCCACAGCTGGAGCCACAGCCCCCCTTGCAGCCCCCGCAGCTGGAGCCACAGCCCCCCTTGCAGCCTCCACAGCTGGAGCCACAGCCCCCCTTGCAGCCTCCACAGCTGGAGCCACAGCCCCCTTTACTGCAGCTGGAGCAGGAACAGGCTGGCACACAGCAGCACACGGGCTTACAGCAGCAGACGGGCACACAGCAGCTGGAGCCACAGCCCCCGGAGCAGCCACAGCCGGTCATGGTTCTGGTGGTTGAGGGTGGAGCAGGTAGAGGAGCAAGTGGAGAGGGAGGTGGTGAGGTGTGGAGCCTCCTGGGCCGGGGGCCTTTATATACCGCCAGGGTCAGGGGTCAGGTGAGATGCTGGGCACATGGTCACTTCCTGGTTCCTGTTGTGCTGTTTCCCTGGCACCTTTGGTGTTTTCTCATAACCACCTGGCACTGTGTCCTCTTCCCTGGTTGCTTCGGTCAGCACTGCGCACATCCTCACAGGGTCCTTGGTCCTGGAGCAGCACTGAGATTGCTGCAGACTCAGCCTCAGGGTCGCCCGGAGCCGGAGGCCCTGCTCGCTCCTGGTGATGTCATCATTGCTGCCCCTTCTCTTGCTCTGGGGGCACCTGGGCCTCTGCTCCATCGTCTGCAGGGAGCTCCTGGCAGCACCACCTCTCATGGGGCTGCCCAGGGATTCTGCCTCCTGGTCCGCAGGCGCCTCACCTGGGACGGCTTCCCTGAGATTGGAGGGCTAGCTGAGATGAGGGTGTCAGGCGTCACCCCAGGACTGTGCTGTGGGCCCCGTGCAACAGTGTGCTCCTGCTTCTCAAAGGCCTGTTCAGGGCCCTGCAGGCTTGTCTACCTGCCCACCCCCAGGTGGCAGAGCTGACAATGAATTCAGGATGCCCAGGGGAAACCGGGCCTCAGAGAAACAGCAAGTGCTGTGTAAGTGTAAACAGGTCCCAAGTATTACCTGATGTCCATAAGCCCATGGACAGGGGACAGACACATGCTGTTCTTCCTGCGGCCACATGGTGTCGCCCATGAGTCCTCCCAGGCACTGGACCGCAGGTGGGAAGGCAGACAGGAGACCTGCTGGGTGGCAGTGAGCACTGGGTCCCTTCCCCTCCTTTCTCTCAGCCTCTGTCTGCTCACTCCTCAGCCACGTGAATTAGCAGGGTCACCTCTCCGCATGAGGCAGGATTGATCCCACAGAGAGGCGTTCGCACACCAGGAAAGGGGTTGGCCGGGCGGGGAAACCATAGCAGCACAAAACAAAAACACGCCATTAAGGAAAACTGAAGATGGTTTTTAAAAACACCATAAACTCGGCTCCTATGTAAACACTGATCTGGTTTGGAGACTGAGGATTTATTTCCTCAACCTATAAATAACTCCGTAAAGCCCTAATTGGTATGGCTCAGTGGATAGAGCATCGGCCTGCAGACTGACGCGTCCAGGGTTCTATTCTGGTCAAGGGCATGTCCCTTGGTTGCAGGTACATTCCCAGTGGGGGGTGTGCAGGAGGCAGCTGGTCGATGTTTCTCTCTCATTGATGTTTCTACTTCTTTCCCTCTCCCTTCCTCTCTGTGAAAAATTAATAAAATATATATTTAAAAAAATAACTCCGTAAAGCTGAAAGAGCCCGCCGGAAAAATATAACTTAAAAAGAAGTCACCTTCACTAAGAAGAAATGGAAGAAAGAAAGGAATGCCCCTTTCCGGCTGTGCGTTCACACAGATTTCAAAATACAGTGACAAGGGGTCGAGCGGGAGCAGCTGAGGTGCTGAAAGTCGGGGGACAGTTAGCCAAGACCCTGGTGGACGAGGCGGGCGAGGCCACAGCCCTCGTTCCCATTCTGCTTCTTTAATGACATGGATGGAAGTTCAGCAAAACCCACGCGTCTCCACAGAGACGGCGACAGAGTAGGAGTGCCGCTGGACCTCACGGGAAGCTGGGCTGCCTGGTCCTTGCGTTTCCCAGTTTCCTCTTCTGCACAAGCACGTGTGTCGGAGTTGGACGCAATCGGTGTTGTTAATCGTATTTGAGAGGCTGCAGCCAGTTCAGGGGGCGTTTGGTTGGGAGGGAGTGGCAGCTGTAGAAACTGTCCTCTGAGGTCACCTGAGGGGAGCAGTGAAGGCAGGTGCTCGGGTAATTACAGGGTCCCTGCGGGGAAGTGGCAGTGTTTAGAGATCCGACAGAGGAAACGTGGGCCTGGGCCAATGAGAGCCTGATGCCCAGTAAACAAACAGGCAGATCCAGGAAGTCTGCACAGCAGGATGTGGGGACCCGGACTGGGGGGTAGGGAGTGGTCTGGGCAGGTATATAAAGGCCCCTTGCCCAGGAGGCTCCACACCTCACCACCTCCCTCTCCACCTGCTCCTCTACCTGCTCCACCCTCAACCACCAGAACCATGACCGGCTGTGGCTGCTCTGGGGGCTGTGGCTCCAGCTGTGGGGGCTGTGGCTCCAGCTGCTGTGTGCCCGTCTGCTGCTGTAAGCCTGTGTGCTGCTGTGTGCCAGCCTGTTCCTGCTCCAGCTGCAGTAAAGGGGGCTGTGGCTCCAGCTGTGGGGGCTGCAAGGGGGGTTGTGGCTCCAGCTGTGGGGGCTGCAAGGGAGGCTGTGGCTCCAGCTGTGGGGGCTGTGGCTCTAGCTGCTGTGTGCCTGTCTGCTGCTGTAAGCCCGTGTGCTGCTGTGTGCCAGCCTGTTCCTGCTCCAGCTGCAGTAAAGGGGGCTGTGGCTCCAGCTGTGGGGGCTGCAAGGGGGGCTGTGGCTCCAGCTGCTGTGTGCCCGTCTGCTGCTGCAAACCCTGCTGCTGCCAGTCCAGCTGCTGCAAACCCTGCTGCTGCCAGTCCAGCTGTTGCAAACCCTGCTGCTGCCAGACCAGCTGCTGCAAAACCTGCTGTGCCCCCGTTTGCTGCCAGTGCAAGATCTGAGGCTCTGACCTCCCACCTCAGTGGTGGCGTGGTTGCAGGGCCCAGGCTCTCAGCCCTGTGTCCAGGCCTCTTGACTTCCTGCCTTTATGACTCCAGTCACTGATGTCGTCGTCTCCCGCCCGATCTTCTGAAATGCATCCATGGATAGAGGGAACCTGGAACCACCTTCTCCCCACGGGACTCCCGTGGCTCATAGCCACCTCTTCTCCCGGCTGCCCTCCTGCTCCCGACCTCACCAACACGCTCCCGACCCCCCTAACATGCTCCCGACCTCACCTAACACACACTCTGGCCCTGAGAGGCCCTGAGGCCGCTCATTCCTGGGACCCAGAGCTGGCCTGCTCAGGAGGGGGTGCCCTCGGGTTCCTCTGAGCCTCCAGACCCCCCTGGGTCCTCCAGAGAGACAGCATGGAGCGCAGTTCCTTTCTGTCTGTTCTGCAAAACTCTCATCTGCCCACCGGCGGGGCTCAGGGGTGAGCGTCGACCAATGAACCAGAAGGTCATGGTTTAATTCCTCGCCAAGGGCACATGCCCAGGTTGTGGGCTCCATCCTCAATAGGGGGCGTGCAGGAGGCAGCTGATCAATGATTCTCTCTCATCATCGATGTTTTTACCCCCTTTCCTTCTTCTTTGAAATAAAAAATATATATATAATAAAATCAATAAAAATATCTTTTAAAAGAACACAAACGTGCGTGATGTAGATAAATCTATCAAATTGCTTTGCCGCATTGACAGGGAAAAGGTCTCTCATTGCTTGCTCGTCCCTCACACGGTGCCAACTGAAGGCCCCATGTTCGCTAAGTGCCGATCAAGAGCTCCGTTTGGTGGGTGATTCCTGGACAGGCCTCCATGCATGGCCCTGGGATCCGGTGAGAGGGGAGAATCCTGCATGGGGAGGTCAGGTCCTGGGTCAGAGCACCAGGGACAGGGCTGGGCTGAGTGGGGAGGAGGTCCCCCTGTGGTCATCAGCGCTCCAAGCTCATGCTTCTCCCCATGGAGTCCCAGTCCTCGGGCCCCTCTGGTCCCTGGAGCTCTTCTCCAGAAAACACCAGGCCGGCCCGCCCACATCTCCCTCCTGGAGGGAGGATGTTCGAAAGGCACTAGACTTCTCTGGTGCCCACACTTTTTATTTGTTTATTTTCATTGTTATTTTTAATCCTAGCCTGAGGATATTTTCCCATTGATTTTTGGAGAGTGGAAGGGAGGGGAGAGAGAGAAACCTTGATGTGAGAGAGACACATCGACTGGTTTCCTCCTGCACAGCCTCCACCAGGTCCCAGGCTGGGCCAGGGAGGAGTCTGCCGCCAAGATACACGCCCTTGAGCAGAATTGAACCCCAGACCCTTTGGTCCGTAGGCTGAGGATGTATCCACTGAGCCACACTGGCTGGGGCTGCTCACACGTTTTAAAAATAAATGTGAGGAAAGTCATAAGAAGGTAAAGGAGAGCTCACAAGAGGTGCACCTGTGGTTTGCACTCAGTGCAGAGCAGGGGTCTGAGCGGCACCCCACCCCGTTTCATCTTCCCCCCAAGTGGGTGCCTGGTTAAGCCGGGCCCAGCTACCGGCACAGGTGTGGGCACGTGGGCATGGACGCTGCCTTTCCCTTTTCCTAGGTAAGCAGCGCAAACACCTGCGCCCAGGGTTTCCGAGGGCCCAGCAGCCCTGACCCTTCTCAGGGCTTCTCTCTGCATCCCCCTGAGGGCCCTCCTCCCTTCCTCTCTGCCCGGCTGGATGAGCAGCAGGCATAGCACCTGGCGTTTTGCTCACACCCCATTCTGCACCATCGGGAGGGCCAGGGCGCAGTGGACATTCAGTCCATGTTTGCAGGGGTCTCACCTCACTCTGCCCGGCCCTCCACCAGGGCTGGAGACACGGCTCCGCACGGAAGAGCCACCAGGGGCCGCTGCTGACTGCGACCCAGCCGTCGCGGCTCCGTGGGGAAAGGGAGATTCCTGGCCTGGGGCTGGCTCCCTGGGCTCTGAGGCTGTCAGTGGCCCTAAGGTAAGGACGCAGCTTGGTTCTGATAGAACAGCATGTCGAACTCGCTGCCTGCAGGCCCCATGCCTGTTTACTTGGCCTGTGTTTGCCATTGAGTTTGACATATTTGTTGTCGAAGCAGGTGAACCGGACATTGTTGTCATCATCTTATTTATTTTAAATAATTTTATTGATTTTTTTTTTACAGAGAGGAAGGGAGAGGGAGAGCTAGAAACATCGATGAGAGAGAAACATGGATCAGCTGCCTCCTGCACACTCCCCACTGGGGATGTGCCCGCAGCTAAGGTACATGCCCTTGACGGGAATCGAACCCGGGACCCTTCCGTCCCCTGAGCCACAGCAGCCAGGGCAGCAGCATCTTGTGGCGCCAGGTGCCGGTCCTGCGCAAAGGCCCTGAGGCTCAGAGAAGCTCGAGTGTGTCTGAGTGGAGTTCGGGGAGCGAGGACAGAGTCACGGGAATGCAGGTGACGGGGCTGGAATGAGTGGGGCAGGGGCAGGGAGGGCGCTAGATGGAGCTGTCTGTGGGCGTGTGGGGAGTGTCCAGGGATGACTATGGGGCAGTGAGCGGTACCTGGTGGCACTCCATCTGCATGCAGCCAGCTGTGCCTGCCCCGGCCACCCCTGACCTTCTCCGACCAGTGGGCTTCCCTGCCAGCTCCCACCACCGTGCCCAGCAGTGCGGAGGCCTGGCACCCACCTGCACTGAACCGCCAGCAGGTCACTGGGAGCAGCTCAGGGCCCTCGGGAGGGGGGGGGCGGGCGCTGGGCTCTGGTTGGCTGACTGGTTGGTGGTCTGGGGTTCCCCAGCGGGTCACTGGGAACAGTTCAGGCCCCGGGGGGGGGGGGGGGAGACACACGCCTGTGGCCCCAAGGGCCCCGGTGCTGGTGCCTCGGCGTGTTGGGCTGTGCGGCTTTGGGGATGGTGACCGGGCAACTTGCAGGCTGCTCTCGGGAGCCCCGCTGCCGGTTGGCGGGGACCAGCCTGCTCCTGCCACGGTGAGTCCAGCACGGTCACCGGCGTGTGGCACTTCACCATGGGCCAGACCCCACCGGGAACGCCGCCGCGGTTTCCCGGTGCAGCCAGAGGCCCGGGCAGAGGTGGGTACCTGCACGCAGGGAGGAAGGGGTGGAGTCCTGCCTGGCTGATGCCACAGTGACTGCTGTGATCAAGCCCATCGCGCCCGTTTCCTGTCCTGTAGGTGCCGAGGGAGGTGGACAGCCGGAGTTGGGGGGCCTCGCCGCACTCTTCCCCTCCTCGTCCCTGTCTCTCCTCCACCTGCGAGCACCTGGTGGGAAAGGCCCGAAGCTGCATCTCCCGGGCGGGATGTGTGCCCGGGGCCGAGCCCTCCTCTCTGCTCACTGAGCCACACCGGCCAGGCCCACGGGGACATCCGGAAAGACGAGAGCACGCACCAGAGGCTCCTGAGGGTATAACTCACGGGAAATGCCGCCGCCTCCCCCAAAGGCCTGGCGGCGGCATGCTCTGGCTCCTTTAAAAGCATGTCCTGCCCCTGCCGGTGGGCTCAGTGGATAGAGCATGGGATGTGGGCTCAAGGGTCCCAGGTTCGATTCCTGGTCAAGAGCACATGCCCTGGTTGTGGGCTTGATCCCCCACTGGGCAGGGTTGGGTAGGGGGATGCATGAGGCAGCCAATCAATGATTCTCTCTCATCACTGGTGTTTCTCTCCCTCTCCCTTCCTCTCTGAAGTCAAATATAATAAAATAGGTTTAGAAATAATAGATAAAAGCATGTTCTGAGCCCACCTTTCCCCAGATCTTCCAGAATCCGTCTCAGAAAGCACCCAGGCCATCACCACCCCTCTGGGCACCCCACCCGCCAAGCCCTCTTGGGGTTTGGGCTCCCCAGACTGAGGTGGCAGCACAGCCTGCCTGCCCCCCCACAGCTGAACCTGGGCCACACGGAGTCAGTGCCCCTGCCCCGAATCCCCGGAGGCCCCGGCTGCAGCAAGAGGAGGAGATGCTTGTGGTTAATGGACAGGGGGGAGACACTGAGCTGTGTGACGCCCGAGCCCTCGGCCGTGGTGGACGGATGGAGACCCACGCTGGCTGTCAGGGGGACGGAATGGGTGTCCCCAGAGCAGGAGTGAGGGGCGCTCAGGGACCCCAGGGCGCAGAGCCCTGGCCTGGAGAGCGGGACAGTGCGGTCACACCGATGCACAGACCCCCCACCCCCCACTCGTGCAGAGCGGCCCTTCCCGTGAGTCTGAGTCCAGACTTCCCCACATCGGGCTGCACTTTGCTGTGGGTGAACATGCGTCGCTTTGTAAACCGGGCTTCTAGAATGTTCAGCTCTTTGCCTTGAGTCCAGGCAGGTTCCTGAGTCTGGCTCAGTGGTTTAAAAAGTCACTTTGGCCAAAACCGGTGTGGCTCAGTGGATAGAGTGTTGTCCTATGGACAAGGGTCCAGGGTTTGATTCCGGTCAAGGGCAGGTTGTGGGCATATCCCCAGTGGGAAGTGTGCAGGAGGCAGCTGATCGATGTTTCTCTCTCTCATCGATGTTTCTAACTCTCTAGCCCCATCCTTTCCTCTCTGAAAAAAATCAATAAAATATATAAAAATATAAAAAAATAAAAATAAAAAGTCATTTTGCCCGGGTCCCGGTTTCTGAAATGTTCTTTCCCAGCAGAGGACTGGATTGGCCACCAGGAGGCAGTGTTGCCCGAGAAATGGGAGCAGATGGCGGCATGCAGCCCATCCCAGGGGAAGGGAAAGTGCAAGGACCACCGTGAGTGCCCACAGGGCGAGCAGGTGCCAGGCTGGGAGGGACCGAGGCCTCGCCCTGGCCTGGGAGTCCCCGCTGGAACGAGGTGGCGTGGGGAGAGGCTGCCCGCCTTCCCAGAAGGGACCAAGGGTTGCTGTTCTGTGGGTGACGCCTCTGAAAGCCCGGCTCTCCCTGTGGTTTGTTGTTGGCATTTTGTGTGCAGGACACGGCAGCTCCCTGAAGAAGCTGCCCACCCAGCCCGCCCAGCCCGGCACC